CGTGGCCCGGGCGGCCCGGCGGCGTGTGGGCCCTGAGGGTCCCGGTCCCACCATGGCGGCGCTGCCCGGGCCGCGCAAGCGGAGCGGTCCCGCGCTCTGCGGGGAGAGCAGCGCTGCGGCCGCCCCGCCGGCGTTGCGGAACGGCCTTCCCCCGCACAAGCGCCCCAAGAGCGCCGTGACCGGGATCGTGGACCCCTTCGGGGATAGTGATGACTTCACGGCGGACGACCTGGAGCAGATCGATATCCTGGCCTCGCAGGCGCTGTCGCAGGATCTGCCCGCGGGACACGCGTGGGGAGCCCCGGGGCTGGCCCGGGGCGAGCGGCAAGGTCGGTGTGTCCCATCGGCTGCCTCTCACTGCTCCGCTGCTGCGAAAGGGTTTGGTGTCTCTTTAGGATCTACAGAATGGCAAGGGACCTTAAAGCCCATCCAGTGCCACCCTTGCCGTGGGCAGGGACAACTTCCACTCTCCCAGGCTGCTGCAAGCCACGTTCAGCCTGGCCTTGGGCACTTCCAGGGATCCAGGGGCAGCCACAGGTTCTCTGGGCAGCCTTTGCCAGGTCCTCACTTTCCTCACAGAGAAGAATTTCTTCCCAATATCGAACCTAAATCTCCGTCAGCGTGAAGCCCCTCCCTCTTGTCCTGTCACTACAGGCTCTTGTAAATAGCTTTGCTCCATCTTTCTTTTATGAGAATTGCTCCTGCCTGTTCCCCTGGCCACAAGCACCCCACGGTGTCAGAGGGATGGTTGGCATTCAGAGGAATAGCGAGAATAACAATCCCAGCAGGCACATTGCATTGATCTTGGGGCACCATGCCTGCTGTGTGTGTGGTAATGCCAGCCTGGCACAAGGGTGCTGCATGTTAAACCTGCCAAATAAAAAAACTGAGTTTCCTAAACTTTCAACACGCTTTAGGTATCATATTCTAGTAGCATGTTGGCTTTCAGATTTTTTTCCCCCTCTAAATTTCCACTAACAAATGCATAGCATGCCTTGTATTAACTGCTTTCAGGTTTACATTGAAAGAAACAAAAGCAGAGGTTTTTTCATAATGAAGCTTAGAGAGCTTAAGTATGTTTTAGCAACCCTGACATCTTGCCAGGTGAATAAGTTTTCAATGAACCTTTGTGCATTAACTAAAGTTATCTCAGAAGAAATGCTTACTCTTGCTGTGGGTCATCTTGCTGGTTTAAGATATGAGATGATCTTGAAGGTCCCTTTCAACCCAAACCATTCTGTGATTAGAAATTTGAAGGGGCAGGGGTTCTTCCATTACAAGAATTGATGCACAAGCACTAGCAAAGTTCCTGTGGTGGTTAGATGAGGCAGTTTACCTCTTTGTAATGACAGTAAAATACTAAGATATTCAGATGTATGCAATGTATGCAAATAACAAAACCTTGGTGTTGAGTCACCAGTGATGTACATTCATCATGCGTGCTTCAGATTTTGGCTTTTCTCTGCAGCAGGAAGCAGAACAGAAGATGGTCTGATGAGAGATGCATTCCAGTTTGAAGTGCTGCAGACACAGCACGAAGAAGTCAAACAGAAGGTTGGCAATATCCTCCCCTCTCCTCTAAATATCACATTTTTGATAGGAATAACTGAAAGGTGGGATAAATCCAGTCCCAAGCATTTAATTCTAATCAAGGTGATCAATAATCTTTGAAATCCAGGGGTGTGTTGAAATTATTATACTAGAAACAGCTCTAGTAATACTAAAGATTGAGTACAGTATTCTATTTCTTGGCCATTTCAGATTAGAAAAATGCTGATTTATCAGTTTTATTTGTTCCCTATCAAATAATTTCTCTGCCCAGTCAGACAGAGTTGTTTTGTTCAACTTAAAAGATTTGAGAAAGTGATGTGACTTTTAAGTGACTTTATGTTACTTTACCTTCTGGTGGTCATTTATGGAAAGATACTGTTTCCCTTCTCCATTCCCTGTATCTTTCCCAGGTCTATTATAGCCACCTTTATCAGGGAATCTCCTACCTATGTGTATATATATATATATAATATTAAATCATAATTTCACAGCTGTTGTAGGGAAGTGTCTTTCTGATCTTTTCTTCTTGCTGTTCTGAGTAACTTCCTGATTATCCCTCCAAAGTCTTGTTTCTGAGTGGTGGTGGCTGCACAGGAAGTATTAGAGACTCAATGTCATGAAGATACTGTTTAGGGGTGGTACCTTGTCTTAGAGTGCTTGTTTGCTGTCCTGATGGATGTAGTAGTATAATTAAATTTTCACTTTTATCAACCAAACAATGAATAAATTATTGATGTATGTGACTAGAACATTTTTTAAAAAAAAAACCCAAAACATAATTGTAGAGAAGGGGAAAGAGAAGGATGGTCTTGTCATTTTTAATGATGTTAAAGGAAATAGCTGAGACTGATTTAATCAGAGAAAGATTAGAGGCAACGTGTAGAATTTCTGATCTGGATTTCCAGGAGCATTTTTCTCCCTAGAAATTACAAATACACCTAATTTTCAACCACATACTGATGAAAATACATACTTCTGGCTATATCCATCCTTTAATGGAATTCCTCTGTTTGCAGCTAAAAGAAATGCAGGATGAAATTCTCACTAAAAATGGAGAAATTAAAATTCTGCGTGACTCAATGCAGCAGATGGAGTATGCTATGGAGGAACAGAAAAGATCATACCTACTACTGGAACAGCAAAAATCTCAGATTTTAAATGAAAAAGAAAAAGAGTTCTCCAAAAAGGTTTGTAAATATGTCAGTTACCTGCAGATCATGTGCAGAAGCTGATTTATGACTTAATAATGTCACAGACTATTTAGTCAAAGGATAAATATTTATGTGAAATTTCCACAATGCTTGCTTTGATTTTCTTACCTCAAAGAAAACATTTGTAAGAACTCTTTGAGGGTTTTCCCCTGCCAAAACAAAGGAGTGAAATTCAGGTGGTAGAGGTTTTCATTTACTTATTGCTTTTTTGAAACCATCCTGAGAACACTGCAATTGGAATGTATTTTAGAGTGAGAAAAATTGATAGATTATGCTTTGTGGCTCTGATCAGATTGCTGTTCCTGTTGCCATCATCTCTGTCCCTGATGAGAACAGCGACTGCTCTTGTCC